TCTGGGTTTTGCACCCTCCCCAATAAGGTCACCCAATGGATCTGGCATTCCACAGAGGTGGCATTACAGAGACTTAGGTTCTACCCCTATGCAGCTAGAGGAGAATTTGTTATGATTTAATTAAAAAGCAAAAGGCACAACGTCCCTGAAGCAAGAGATGGAGTTTGTTGTTAATGTTGAATTAAGGAAGTTGTCACAAAATAAAGGACTTTTGTTAGAAATTTGTGGCATCCCTGAATCATCCATCCAGCGCATTCCAGATGAAGGAGAAGATCACAACATTAGACAGTGCTGGTCAAGTTATTTTTTCCACTCCCTCTCAGAAAAGCCCCTATGATTCAAGCATATACCAGGGTTCAGTTACTACCACCAAGCCTGTGATTTGGAAGTTTTAAATTTATTGAACCTTGTGGTACAGTGGTTAAACTGCAGTACTAAAGCCAAAACTCTGCTCATGGTCTGGGGTCAATCCCAGGTAGCTAGCTCCCGGTTCACTTAGCGCTTTGGTCCCTGCCTTCACACTTCACTTTCTTCGCAAGAAAGTGGAGGGGGAAAGCAGGAATCATCAAAGCGCTTTGATTCCTGCTTCCCCCCCCCACTTGCTAAGCCCCACTTAGATTTCTTAATTTTGTGTTAGAAAAGTGGGTGGGTGTCTTACATGAGACATGGGGCGTCTTATACACAGAAAAATACAGTAAATGGCTACTGTATCTGTGGATGACTTGAATCACACATGACATATTTGACATAGTTACTGTAATGCATCATGTACATATATTTTAAAGAATTTCTGAACTAGTCATAATAATATTTCGCAGTAATGTAATCAGAAGTGGAATTTCCTGCTCGTATCTTCCTGGAAGTACAGGCAATACCAGTATTGTGGCTGTGTGGGACAACAGCAACTCTACTAATAGTAATGTGCAGAAGTTGCAAACAGGTGAGTACTGTTAGTTTTATCACACTGTGATATTTCCAGAGTCATTCATAGTATCACTTTCCAAATAGCACTTGTGTTGACTGACTATAGTTACTTTTATAGTTACCATGTGACTCACAACTACTGTATGTGCAATTTCAAGTATTTACACTACATATTTAAAAGTGGCATGACATGTACACATATACATCTGTAATTTAAAGTCAACAGCAGTGGGTGGAGGTATTGTTCCAAGGCTCCTCTTTGTCAAATTACCTTGGGACATCACTTTTAAAAAAGCAGTACTCTGGGGTGATAAATAATTCCTGGGCGTCCAACAATCAATAAATGGAATGTCCTTCAATTAACATCAGCATTCCACAAAGGTTCCACACTGCCAAAGATTTCCTGCATGAAAACAGGGCACTCAGTGTTACAGCTGTAATCAAAATTATTCAACCCCCATTGCAATTACAGCTGTAATCAAAATTATTCGACCCCCATTCCAAATAAGGTTTACTGTTAAAATTTACATTTAAATCAAACAAATGCAATAAGGTAAAGGTTCCCCTTGACAATTTTTGTCCAGTCATGTTCGACTCTAGGGGGCGGTGCTCATCCCCGTTTCCAAGCCATAGAGCCAGCGTTTTGTCCGAAGGCAATCTTCCATGGTCACATGGCCAGTGCGACTTAGACACGGAACGCCGTTACCTTCCCAACAAATGCAATAGGAATAGCTCAACACAACAAATGCTTACAATAGGAATAGCTCAACACAACAAATGCTTCAAATGGTTTCCCCAAATTTAACTGAAAATGCAATTTCTAATTCTGCAGTCTCACAATTATTCAACCCCTTAATAGCAAGTACCTTTAGTATTTAGTAGAGCACCCTTTTGCTGTCATGACCTGTTGCAAACAAGATTCATAGCCCAGATGCCAGCTTCTGGCAGTGTTCCTGAGGAATCTTAGCCCAGTCCTCATGGCCAATGGCTTTCAGTTCAGTATTATTCTTGGGTTTGCATGCTGCAAGTGTCTTCTTCAAATCCCACCAGAGATTTTTGATGGGGTTCAAGTCAGGTGACAGCTATGGTCACTGTAGAATCATCCAGGACTTCTTCTGCAACCAAGCCTTGATGGAATTTGAGGGATGCTTGGGATAAGGATGGAATTTGAGGGATGCTTGGGCTAACTATCCTGTAGGAAGATCCAATGACACCCAAGCTATCTTGTTGTATGCTATTCCTTGCTTGTGAAGGGTGCTGATCTCTTATCTTTTTGGACCATGCTTTTGACTTACCTATATTTCTAACTTGCAGTCAAATGTGACTCACCAAACCCTTAGCCAGTTCATGTATTTCATGTGTTCCAGCTCAAGCATACATGGTGCAACTAATGAAGCCCTTGAGTCGTCGCATCAGGTTTTGCATATTTTTGCTGCTGTGAGGGATTCTATTGAAGGGGTTGAATAATTTTGGGATTGCATAATTAATTAAAAGTTACATTTTAAGTTGAATTTGGAAGCCCTTGAGTCGTCGCATCAGGTTTTACATACTGTATTTTTGCTGTTGTGAGGGATTCTATTGAAGGGGTTGAATAATTTTGGGATTGCATAATTAATTAAAAGTTGCATTTTAAGTTGAATTTGGGGAAACTACTTGAAGCATTCATTGTGTTGAGCTATTTCAATTGCTTTTGTTTGATTTGTTCATTGCAAACAGCTGAAAGTCCGTAAATGTTGACAATAAACCTGATTTGCAATAGGGGTTGAATAATTCTGATTACAACTATAACTGTTTCCACTCCAAGGAGGAGAACCATCCTTTTTGTCCACTATCCATTGCTGGGGGCTCACCCCCTTTACTGGCTCACACAGGCTTCTGGACAAGGCTCTATTAGCAACGAAACCATATATTTTGATCAAAAGCTGCCACACTGAAGTTATAGTTACAGTAGACCTGGTTGTACTTATCATTAGGATTTGCTTCAGAGAGAGGTAGAAAGAGAGAGGAGTTGGTTGAGGTGTATAATTTTACCAAACACTGTTTTCTGCTGGACATGGTACCTAGAGATAGTCACAAACTGTGAAAATAGCAGTTCTTGGTAGTTCATGGTTTGTCACTATTCACAAACTACAAACTATGAACTTTCATGATGGGCTGTTATTATTCGTGTGATTTGGGACTTCCCGGAGCTGTAGAATGGCCTTTGCATGAATTAGGGATGCCAAACCCACTGAGAGTCTTCAACTGCTTCTCTTCCCCAGCCCCTCCAAGTTTGATGAAAATTGGATTTCGGATGTCCGGGTTATAGCCCCCAAAGCAGGTTCCCCCACGAAAAGTGCTCTTTAGCAGCTGGCTAAACTTTCCTGGGGGAATCTGTTTTGAGGGGCCACAACTCGGACATCCCAAATCCAATCTTTGCCAGACTTTTAGGGGATGGGGAGGAGAGTCAGCCCAAGAACCATTGCAATTTTAGCGAAGACTGGATTTGGGATGTATAGGGTATAGCCCAGCTATGAATTGCCAACCCCAATAATTTAGCATTTTGTTTTGTTCTGGGCAGTTGTGTCTCCCTGAACCATCCTGAAATGAACTATGAAATGGCCCATTTCATGGGTTTTTGCTTTGTGGTTCACTTCATACTTCTCGCTGCTATGTGCATCCCATTTTGCCAAGGATAGTCCTCTCAGTCAGGGTAGGGTAAAACACAACTTTCATATCACATGCAACCCCTTGGTCCTCTTTTTTTCCAGAAGGTAAACTGTAGTTCCAGGAAACTGCCTATAATGGGAACTGGTTTTTAATAAGGTCATAAGGGGCCACTACACTATTTAGCATTCACAAATAAGGATTTCCCAAAACTGAAAGTGAACTTTTACCTACTTGTTTCACTTCCTAGTCTTTCTCTCTCTCTCCAAGCATTATTCTGTGATCTTTGGAGGCAGAAAACACCCTTAAACCCCACATAGTCCCCCATCCCTGCCGTACTGGAATACTGTAAGGACAGCCAACTATTGGAAGGAATATCTGATCCAAGTGTTTCAAAGACAGCAAGAAAACAGACCTCAAGTGTTGCCCATGGTCACATCAGGAATGACTCATCTGCTCAGTCTTCCTGTTTTGTGAAACGTATTTCTGATTCAACCACGTTAAATGTGCTTCTTTACCATTAAATTAACAAGATTTTATGCACATCGGTGTCCTTTGTTGCTGCTACATCAGTCACTTCCCTAAGCATATACTGTACAGTACCTAGAATTCTCTATTATTTTTGTGTATGTATGTAGCACTATGCAGAAGACAGCAATTTAGCCTTAGATCACACTTATCTGAGGGTAAAATTAGGTTGTTCACATATCTGCTCTCATATTTTTGGAAGAATAGGACAACATATGAAAGGGGCAGATAAATTCTTCTATACAGGCTCTGGTTGCATATGCAGTACTGTAGCTAGTCCACAACAGTACTATGTCTTCTCTAAAGCTTGGGAAAATTGTTATGTCCAATCAAGTCACATCCAACTCAAGGTGACCTTATGAATGACCAATATCCAAAGCATCCTATCCTCAACTGCCCTGCTCAGCTGTTATAAACTCAAGCCCGTGGTTCCTTAGGAGTTGTTTCATTTCACATTTGGTCTTCCTCTTTTCCTGCTACAGTCTATTTTTGGAAGAACAGCATTCTTTCCTCCCCAGAGAACTGTCCAGCAGCCTGAGCTTCAACATTTTTGCTTCCAGAAATAGTTCAGACTTGATTTGATTAGAACTCCCAGAATCCGCAGCCCAGAATCCCTCAACACGGTCACCCAGCTTTGTATATAACCGGGAGATTTTGGAAGTTGTAATTCATTTTGGAAATTGCAGTCCAAAACATGGATCTGGCCAGAAACAAGATTCTCAGAAAGTAACGTATTAAAAAAATGAATATAATTATAATAACCAGCAAGCCTAGCTGTCACACACAACACCTCACAGAGTCACTTAAGGTATCACGTGAGGTGGGGCGACATGACGTCAGTGGAGAGGGGAGGAGAGGGTTCAACGGTTTCTTTTGTTGACAGACCTCTCCCCCCCGCCTCCCCCCGTGCTGTGTTTTTGCGGCCAGTTCCTGGTCTGGTCAGGTGACTACTATCACGTGAGGCCTCGGGAGATTGAATGGTGCCGCCGCCGCACCGCTTCTGCCTGTCCCTCCCTTTGCCGTTGGGACGGGGATGAGCGTCCGCGAAGCAGCAGCGCCTTGTCCTGCTCCGACCCGGGTCGCTGCCGCCGCCGCCGCCGCCTCGTTCCTGCACGACTGAAGTGCTGCCGCCTGCCGGCTCGCAAGGCTCGGCTTCATCCCTTCCCACGGCTCCTCTGCGGTCGCCGAGGGGCGGTTATCCCTCCCCCCGGAGATGCGGCTGTGGGGCTTCGTCGTGCTGGCCTGGAGCGTGGCTTCTTCGGCCGCGGCTTGGGGCAAGGGCGGCAGTTACTGGCTGGACGATGCGGTCGGGCTGGCCCGGGAGTTCGATGGCATCGGGGCCGTCAGCGGCGGAGGGGTGAGCTTGAGATTTGTATTGGTAGGCAGGATTCAGAAAAAAAATGGCACATTTGTGGGGAAGATGTGAGGTCCAATGGGTTTGGGTGAAAGTATGTTGAGAATGAAAGTTCATCAGAGTCTTGGGAAATTGGAGGTTGTATACATTTTAAAAAAAATAGCATTAATTGATTATAGCAATTGGAAATACAGTAAGCATGTGTTTAGCATTTTGCAACTGCCATGTGTTTGAATAATCGCTCTTAACCTTTTTTTTCTCCCCCAGGCTACCTCCCGGCTTCTAGTGAATTACGCAGAACCTTATCGTTCTCAAATTTTAGATTATCTTTTTAAGGTAATAATTACCTTGCTGTTATTATTCGTTTTTTTTTTTTTGCTAATGCCATAAAATCAACCTCTAGTTTTTTCTTAATGTTTTGTCAGCTCTTTTGCAGCCTTGTGGTTTTCTAAACCACATATGCAGTGCTTGACATAATTGTGAAGATACATAAACCTACCTCAGTATTAATATCTTGTTAATTTTAAGTGTCTGGTAATTTATTTGGTATCTGAATTTTTTTTACTACTACATAATTAATATTACATTAGTAAAGCTTTATACCCCTTCACGGATTGCTGCCTTGTCTGCCTTGTCGTGGCAAAGGGGCTTGAGTAATTGGGTTAAATTATGGGCAATGCAGTGTAGGGACACCCAAGATGGATGGGTCATAGTGGAGAGTTCTGACTAAATGCGATCCATCTGGAGCAGGAACGGGCAAGCCACTCCAGTATCTTTGCCAAGAAAACCCCATGAACAGAAACAAATGGCTAAAAGATATGACGCTGGAAGATGAGCCCCTCAGGCGTCCAACATCTACTGAGGAAGACCGGAGGACAAATACAAGTAGCTCCAGAGCTAACAAAGTGGTTGGGCCAAAGCTGAAAGGATACTCAGCTGTGGACATGCCTGGAAGTAAAAGGAAAGTCCAATGCTACAAAGAAAAATACTGCATAGAAACCTGGAATGTAAGATCTATGAACTTTGGTAAGCTGGATGTGATCAAACAGGAGATGACAAGAATAAACATTGACATCCTGGGTGTCAGTGAACTAAAGTGGATGGGAATGGACGATCTTTGGAAAAGACCCTGATGTTGGGAAAGTGTGAAGGCAAGAGGAGAAGGTGGAAGACAGGAGGGCCTGGCGTTTTCTGGTCCATGGGGTCATGAAGAGTCAGACATGAGTTAAGGACTAAACAACAACAAAAGATTTTAAATGGTGCATTCCTAACCACTTCATATAGTTGCATCTAAGAAAAGAGATATACCAGCTTAAACTCTCAGCCAAAGCCTGTCAGAAACTTGTTCTATTGTACTGGGAAGACTGCTCAGATGATTTTGTGAAAGTTTTTAGGCTTCTAAGGAGTATTGTGTACAGGTGTTTATACAGAAACGTGTGCATTATAGAAATGGACTTTCAACTGACCCTAAAGTCATGCTGTCTGAAGCCAAGAACTAACTCAATGCTGTATGATGTTTGTTGTTTTATGTTTGTAATTTTTTTAAAGTAGTTGGTATGGGAAAGTGGACAACATTGTCATTACGACATGGATGGAGAAGATGTTTAACCTTTAATCTCTGCTGTTTTCCCCAGGAGAATTTTCCCCTTCAGCTATTTATAATGGGAGAAAGAAAGATGTTTTTTAAATTTTGTTTGGAAGTATGGTATAGCTGGTGAAATGTTAACACCCCCCACCCTCGGTTCCAGTTCAGCACACTCCCCTGTGTTGGCTATTTTTTAAAAAAACAACAACAACATAACTAGCTGTGCAAGGATGAACTGTGTGACAGACATTACCTTTAAACTTGCACTGATGCAAAGCCTGCATTTGCTCTTAAGGAATGTTGACAAGAGGCTTCTGTAGCTGATGCTAGAGTATCAGAAACATACTTCAGGAAACAGCTTGCCTTTTGGACTTCTTTAACACTTTACAAGGTCATTTGTGCTCCTCCCTCCCTCTGTTTCCAACTTTCTGTACAAGCTTTACAAGTTCTTATAGTGGGAGTGGTGAGCAAGAACTCAGAGAAAACTTTTACTGGCAGGAAAGGCATGTTATTGTTGCAATATTTTGATTGTTTCTCAGGAGTGAACTGGCCCAAACCTGACATTGAATGTTGAAGAAAAGTGTAGGTTTTCTAGGCTATTTGGCCGTGCTCTGAAGGATTTTCTTCCTAATGTTTCACCGAAAGTGTAGGTTTTCTAGGCTATTTGGCAGTGTTCTGAAGGTTTTTCTTCCTAATGTTTCACCAGCATCTTCAGAGGACAGGAGTCAGAACTCTGTCTGTGCTCTGGTGCAGTTTGTTGGATAGTTGAGTATAGCTTTTGTCCTTTTCAGGAGATTGGGTGATTATGGTCATCAGCATGTTTTTTGTTGTGTGTGTACAGTATTGTGATAAGGGGGAGAGATGATAAAAATGTTGGCAGTGTCATGCAAAACCAGTTTAAAATAGACTTTCCTGTTGTCAGAACGTTCACAGAGAGTGATGCTGAGTAGCTGCTCATGGCCCTACCTGGACATACCTGTGGAGTTTTGTCTTTTATTATCTATTATCTGGTGCAGTTATCAACTGCTAAGTAAATGGTGAAAATCGATGCTGGCCACAGTGTTCAGTTTGTCTCATTGTTTCGTTCTCAGGATGAGGGTTTAGATACGGATGAACTGATTCAAAGAATGTTGTTGAAACCCCATGACAAGCTGAAGTAATGATTGTTGGGTTCTCTTGTGATTTAGGGCGGAATGTAACCAAATGTTGGTACCACATGTTTGACGTACCACATTCTTTACGGGGCTGCCCTTGTGGAATGGCTGAAAGCTCTGTCTGAATTCAGGATGCCTTGGTAGGATAGGTTCCAGGGAGCACATCACAACAGTGGCACTGGCTTATTATTTTCCAGACGCAATTCAACATAATACTGTAGTTGTGACACACCTCTTAGTATGCCTCATTGGGCCATGTACCTCTCAAGAGACCTTAGGGGCTCTTTTGGTAAATCATGATTTTAAATGTAGGATAGGACTTGACTCTGTGTTCCTAATTCACAAAGCAAGACACAGAAAGATTCTAGACCAGTGTAGTTATACATCATTTCCAGTATCAGAGGCTATATCAGTTGCTGAAGAATGTGAGACAGGAGACACAGTTGGTGGTGAACTCTTCAGGAAATGATTGGCAGTAGTGTGTGCAGAAATAGCTGATCCCGCACAGCCCTTTGTATGTTTCGCAGAGAGTTGTTCTTGGATTGTTCCACATTTGTGGAATTTTTCTTTTCCTAAAATCCTGAGAACTTACCCAATTGTGTTTTAGAACCTTCATAAGATTTCCCTTGTCCAATGACAATAAATGGCCAGAGTTAATTGGGCAAGGTAAAGGTCTTTATTGGTTATTGTTTTTATACTTCATCTTTTAAAAATCATTACCTATTCTTCAGGAAAAGTTTGGATAGTGTTTACTCACGTCACTAATTGATGAAAACTTTGGATGGAGCATTAAGTAGTAGTAGGCATCCTTCAGTCTTGAAAGACTATGGTAGCGTGCTCTGTATGGAGGACTTGGAACAGCGTCTAGTGTGGCTGAGGAGGCCAATTCGAGAGTTACAATCTCTTCCACACTGAAGACAAATCCAATCTGTCCCCTGTCCAGCTCCCTGGTTTTGCTTCCTTTGTGACTTCCTCTTTGTCTCGGCCTGCTGGACAAGGGTCTCTTCAAATTGGGAGAGGCCGTGATGTACCGCCTGCCTCCAGGCTGAACGATCAGATGTCAGAGTTTCCCATCTGTTGAGGTCTATTCCTAAGGCCTTCAGATCCCGCTTGCAGATATCCTTGTATCGCAGCTGTGGTCTCCCTCTGGGGCGATTTCCCTGCACTAATTTTCCATATAGGAGATCCTTTGGAATCCGACCATCAGCCATTCTCACAATGTGCCCAAGCCAGCGTAGACGTCGCTGTTTCAGTAATGTATGCAGGCTGAAAATTCCAGCTCGTTCTAGGACTACTCTGTTTGGAACTCTGTCCTGTCAGGTGATTCCAAAAATCCGTCGGAGGCAACGCATATGGAAGGTGTTCAGCCTCCTCTCCTGCCGGGCACAAAGTGTCCAGGACTCACTGCAGTACAGGAGTGTGCTCAGGACACAGGCTCTATAGACCTGGATCTTGGTATGTGTTGTCAGTTTCTTATTGAGCCATACTCTCTTTGTGAGTCTAGAGAACATGGTAGCCGCTTTCCCAATGCGTTTATCCAGCTCGACATCTAGAGAGAGGGTGGCAGAGATGGTTGAGCCAAGGTACACAAAGTCATGAACAACCTCCAATTCTTGTGTGGAGATGGTAATAGAGGGAGGTGAGTCCACACCCTGGCCCATGACTTGTGTTTTCTTCAGGCTGATTGTTAGTCCAAAGTCTTGGCAGGCCTTGCTGAAACGACTCATGAGTTGTTGGAGGTCTTCAGCAGAGTGGGCAACAATGGCTGCATCGTCTGCAAAGAGGAAGTCCCGCATGCATTTCAGTTGGACTTTGTTCTTCGCTCTCAATCTAGAGAGATTAAAGAGCTTTCCATCTGATCTAGTCCGGAGATAGACACCTTCTGTTGCAGTTCCAAAGGCATGCTTCAGCATGACAGCAAAAAAGATCCCAAAAAGTGTTGGTGCGAGGACACAGCCCTGTTTCACTCCGCTTCGGATGTCAAAGGGATCTGATGTTGAGCCGTCAAAAACTACAGTGCCTTTCATTCCATCGTGGAAGGACCTGATGATGTTAAGGAGACGAGGTGGACATCCAATCTTGGGAAGTATTTTGAAAAGGCCATCCCTGCTAACCAAGTCAAATGCTTTTGTAAGGTCTATGAAAGCCACTAAGAGTGGCTGTTGTTGTTCCCTGCATTTCTCCTGCAACTGTCGGAGGGAGAATACCATGTCAGTGGTGGATCTATTAGCTCGAAATCCACACTGTGATTCTGGGTAGACTCTGTCTGCAAGCACCTGGAGCCTCTTCAGCACAACACGGGCAAGCAGCTTCCCTATAACGCTAAGAAGAGAGATACCACGGTAGTTATTGCAGTCACCCCTGTCACCTTTGTTCTTGTACAATGTGACGATGTTTGCATCCTTCATAATAGCAATATAATAGCATTATATTGCTATTAAAAACCTGTTGGTTTGTTCAGCTTCATGTTATTTGGTGTTATCAGTATCCCTGTTTGTGAATTTAAAATATTAACTGTGGAAGAAATTCATTTGCAAGATATAGTGTGTGCAGATTGTTACCTTTTTAGTAGGTTAGAATATATCAGATATTCACTTAGCCTTTTGCTTAGGTTGAGTGGCAATGTAATGATTGTTTTAAGAGCTCACAGTATTGGTGTTGTACCTTTGCCAGCCTTGAAAAAGTGGTAAGCAGGTGTGAAAGCACCACATTGCTGGGGGGGGGGGCTTTCTCCTGCAATGAGAAGAGACAATATGTTGCCATGGCTACGTCTTTCTTTATTAGTGTAATCACTGGAATGGCATTGCATTTGTCCTTCAGGTATTTTACTTGGCAATATTATGACCTTTTTCAATTAAGGAAAAAACACAGTATTGTACTGGAGCTTTCTATATTTGGAGTTGTTTTTAGTTTGGCCTTTTAAAACTGTTGAAGTGTTTTGTAATGACTGTAATTGTTTTATTACGTAATATACTTTTAAGTCATATTTGTTAGTTTTCTTGATCAATTATTATTACTTTGGTTGGGGTGTGGGATAGATTTTGAATGTAACGAATGGTGATATTGAAATAAACTGCAGAAAATGACTGTAGGATAGCTTTGGTATTGTTGTACTCAGATTTTCTGAGAGAAAAGTAAGACTTAACAAATTGCAATCGTCTTCCTTTTGAAGAGGTTTTAAACCCTTTTCCAAGTCCTGGTGTTACCGAATCGCTGGTTTCTGTGGTGTCTCAATGGTTGGTGCCTCAAGCTTGGTGCAGAGATAATTTGGGTTAATTTTCCAAGATGGTGGTGTATATCTGGTGGGACCAGGACATTATTGTTCCCTGTCCTGGTACCTCCTAACCAGGTTGGTGAAGCAGTTCCGGAATAAAAGGTGCAAGAGAAACAGTTGTATAGTTGGATTAGGCAGCAGCATGCCTAAAAACTGTTGAGGAAAGTGACAGAGTAGGATGTGATTACACAAACTGTGATGCTGAAACTAAGTTTTGAGAACTATGACAAGTTACTTTAAGCATATGGGCACATTGCTGTGGAAAAGCCTCTTGTGCTTCTGTGGTAACAACAGAGTTAGATGGCTTTAAGTGTCAGTCATTTTCCATAGCCTTATTTTTGAAGTTGCTGTTTTGAGATTGTAATTCCTTTATCCAGGTTGATGTCATTCGTTAGCATTTAAATGCTCTTCCTGTTTTTCTAACTTTGTTCCTGGGAGCTCAGTTGATGGCATATTGCCTGCACATATACACTGGAATTATAAATCTACTTCTGAAAAGGTGTAACTTTCAGGTATGATTGCAATGTTAAACATAACAAGATCATGTGTTGTCAGCTTGCCTGATTCCAGGATCCTGCCAGTGTTTTTGATGAGAAGAAGAAATAAAATCAATACAGAGTGCTGTAACTTGGAGAGGTTGGGGAGGAAGTGAGCAAGTATGCCTGTATGAAATGACAAGCTAGACTTCAGAAAATTCTCATTTTCAGTCCATTGTTACTTATTTGTTTGTTCTGCTGCACTGTGACTTCAGCTATTTGTTTAGCCACTCCCCCTTCTTCCAAGGTTACCAACTTGTTAGTACTGTATGCCTTATTTTTCCGTGTATAAAACACCCACACTTTTCGAAATCAATTTCTTTCTTTGCAAGAAACATTTCCATTGCAAACATTTAGCAATCGCCTTCCCCCTTCATTTTCTTTGCAAACGTGGAGAGAAAGCTGCTTTTTGCAACAAAAATGTAAGGGGAAAGCAGAAATTGCTTTCCCCCTGCATTTTCTTTGCAAAACCTGGAGGGGGAAACAGGGATCAAAGCACTTTGAGCTCCCTCCCCTTACTTCCGAGTTTAAAACAACCCTCAATTTTTCCTTTAATTATTTTAGGAAAAGTGTTGTTTTATACACGGAAAAATATGGTACTTGAAAAGCTCAGAATTCTCCTGATAAACCAGTCTTGTCCTGGATGTGCCAGAGTTCTAAAAAAATTTCTAGCCTATCTTTGTCTCCAATGTGCTTGGTATTTGCAACTGAGGAAATCATAGATGCTCATGATAGCAAATGACAACGCTTTATAACAGACATGATAATAAATTTGTGTCAGCTTACATAACATGGTATTTTTCATGCATAACAAAAATATTAACACTTTTTTGCTTATTTTTTAAAGCCAAATTTTGGTGCTGCCTTACAGATTCTTAAAGTAGAGATTGGCGGTGATGCACAGTCTACAGGTATGGATTTGTTCTAACTGTGTGGGAGCTAAGAAATCATGAAACCTGTCTAGTCTATGGAAAAATAAGCAAACACCAGGCAGGATTATTCTATGCTCACTTTAGAGATTTGAAGGGCAGCTGGGAGCTTCAGGTGGCCACCTAGTTTTCCTTAATGCGTGTCATTGCTCAGTGGGATCATCGTTTGCCTAAGCTGGATAGTTTGACCATATGTCACCAAATGAGGTTTGTGCTTGCTATACCCATTGTTACTTGGCCAAAAATCTCACTGATTTCATTGACATCTGTATTCAAGTAAGCCTGTGTAGGATCCCATTGTCAAATCAGTAGGTGGAAACATCAGCTTAATTTGCTTTCTGATAAGATTCTGTGAACCCCCCTCTCTCATGTGAGCAACGTTTTTATCGGTAGCTATAAAAAATGTGTGGGAACAGATTGATGTAATGGAATGGATTCTCGGAACAATCAGAATTCCAGTGGTATACTTCTGTTGGATCTTACTGCTTTTACCAGATCTTTGATCCCCTCCCTCTGCACCCTAAATACCTCTGGAAGGCTGGGAAATCCTTTGGAAGAGGATTTGTGGCATCAAATAGGGCTGCAGCAGACTTGGGAAATTCTGCTACTGTGGTATATCAAAGTACATCCTTAGATCTTTGCAAATATTTTTTTAAAATGTAATCATTTTTGCATCTTCAGTGAAGTTGTCAGTCTAATGCAGCTTGACACAGATAATGTCTCCTTTAAATAAGGCATGCATGTTTTAGATCAATAGTGCATGAAATGCTGCATGAGCTAGTAGGCTATAGTGAATTTGAATTTAGGGCACTTAATTAGCATCACTCAGTTTATTAGCATAATTCTAGTACAAGCATGGTGGATGTTAAACTACCACTTGCATAAGAAATGGTGTTTATAATTCATAAAGAATTTGCCATTGCTTCATGGTGTAGGGTGTGCTTCGTGGTGTGCTTCCTTTGAATGGAGGAGCTTCATCCACAGCCTGGCTTCTGACCCAGGAGAAGTATCTCACTGGTGGACCAATTCAGGGTTTTTCAGTGGTTTAAAATATTCCATTGATTGTGCTTTACCCTGAGATCTTCATATATAAGGCTGCCCCCACTTCCTCCAACGTAATTGTTTGAAGAGATGTTCTGCTTAGGGTATATTATAGTTGATGGATGAAAACTCAAGATTTGACTCATAATCTAATATTGTTTTGACATCACATACTTTAATAACATTTATTTATTAATTATTTTGCTGTTTGTTTTTCAAATTTAGAGGTAACATGAGATTTTCTTAAGCTCTAGGACTACCCATTCCTGGCTTAAAGCATAACTCCACTCAGGACATGTTTCTTATCTGTTTTTGAAAGTTTGACATAAGCTTAGCTGCAGAATATGAAGGTTCCTCGTAACAATGTTGGTATGTTGGTACTGTATACACAATTAACTGCCTTTGCCCTTGGTAATAGTCAATGAGCTAAAATTATGTTACTGTGATTCATTGCAGAAATGTTATTTGCCTACCTGTTTTGAGAAATGTTTTGCATGCTATAGTGAAGGTCAGTTTACAGCAGATTTACATTATACTGAACAGCAGAGTGGACTTTGTTTTCTTCTCTTAGATGGAACTGAACCATCTCACATGCACTATGAAGATGATGAAAATTATTTCCGGGGCTATGAATGGTGGCTGATGAAGGAAGCTAAAAAGAGGAACCCTAATATTAAATTGATTGGTAAGAATTGCAGACCAGAGTTTCAGCATTCTGGATTTAATTATAGTTACCTTTACCTTTACCTTTGTGATTCACTTTAAACAACAAGCTTTTCAAATATCCACTGCAGTGTGCTGCTTACTTTAATAAACAATAGCATTTAATAAACAATAGCACTTAATTACAACAACATTTTGTAATACAGAATGAACAGTTTACTTTATTTTTATTATTTTTAAATTAGATTTATATACCACCTATCTACTCTGGGCGGTTTACATACAACATAAAAATAGACTAAGGTGAAGTCCAGGTTAATCACAGAGTCCAGGATGGGAAAGGAAGAAAAAAGAGAGAGAGAGAGAGAGAGAAAAGGGGAGATAGGCTAGGTAACAGCTGTAGGGAAGGACTGCTTATATAGCCATGTTTTTTTAAAGTTAGTTCTGAAGGCCCTCAGCAAGAGAGCCAAGTGGATCTCTACAGGTAAGTTGTTCCAGAGGCGAGGGGCCACTGCTGAGAAGGCTCAATTTTTAGGGTTTTTTCCCACTGGGTATCTTTTGGCGTTCGACCCCTCAGCTGCTCGGCCTGACTGGCGGCTGATACGAGTAGAACTTGGTGGAAGAAGGCGCTCTGCCAGGTATCGAGGGCCTAAACCATTAAGGGCTTTGTATGTAATGGTTAGCACCTTGAAATCAATGCGAAAGTGAATAGGTGGCAAGTGTAAGGTGGCCAAGGTGGGGGAAATATGGTGAAATCTTTTCACCCTGGTTAATAGCCTGGCCACTGTCTTCTGGGCCATCTGGAGCTTCCGCATCAGTTTCAAAGGAAACCCCGTGTAGAGAGCGTTACAGTAGTCTATTATTGAGACTACGAGCGCATGGACCAGTGTGGTGAGCGCCCCCTCGTCTAGATAGGGATGCGGCTGGGCGATCCGCCGAAGATATAAATGGGCAGACCTAACCATGGATGCTACCTGGATCTCCATGGTAAGCGCCAGATCAAGATGGACCCCCAGACTATGAACTAAATTCTTTGTGATGAGAGTCCCCCCCCCAAAAAAAAAGGGAGTTCCCCAAACCACTAACATTGGGGCCCGCCACCTTCAGGACCTCCGTCTTGTCTTGGTTCAACCGTAGTCCATTCAACTGCATCCATTGCAGGATGGCCTCCAGGCAGCACCCAAGGGATGGAATGGCATTCACTGCAGATGGAAAAGGATACGTAGAGCTGGGTGTCATCAGCATACAGTGGGGTCTTGACTTGAGAACTTAATCCGTATTGGAAGGCGGTTCTCAAGTCGAAAAGTTCTCAGGTCAAATCTGCATTTCCCATAGGAATGCATTGAGAACCATTTGATCCGTATCTGCTCTTGTCCGTCCATAGAAACTAATGAGAAGCTGCTATTCCGCCTTCGATCACTAGAGGGGGATATTTTTTTTCTTTTTTTCTTAGGTCAAGAAAGGTTCAGGGAAGGCAGGGAAAATACAGTCCAGGCAGTACAAGTACCAGGCAGTCCGAAGACTGTCTCCCAATCCACTCTCTAAACGCTGGGAGGAGTGAGGAAGCAGACAGGCACCCTTTTCACTGGCCAACAGTTAACTGAAAGTTCACATTTTGCACTTTCCCTGCCTCCCACGTGGGTTTTTTTCAGTTCTTAACTCAAATCTAAGTACTTAAGTCAAGTCAATATTTTCCTATGAGAGCGGTTCTTAAGTCAAAATGTTCTTAACTCGAGCCGTTCTTAAGTCAAGACCCCACTGTATTGGTGACATGAAGCTCCACATCCCTGGATGACCACCCTCCCCCACGGCCTCATATAGATGATAAACAGCATTAGGAAGATGATCAAACCCTGTGGGATCCCACAAGTGAGGGAACATGGGGCCGATACATTCTCCCCAAGCTGAACTCTCTGGGGACGGCCCTCCAATAAGGACTGGAGCCAAGGGAAAGCAAGGCCAGCAATCCCTAATTCGGAGAACCTCCCCAGGAGGACATCGTGGTCGATGGTATCGAAGGCGGCTGAGATATCAAGGAGGATGAGCAAGGAGCCCCTGTCAGCCTCCCTAAGTAGATCATTCAGCAGGGCGACCAGTGCCGTTTATATGCTGTGGCATGGCCTGAAGCCCAGCTGAAATGGATCCAGGGCATTGGTTTCATCCAAGAGAGCCTGAAGCTGGTCGGTCACCACCCTCTCAAGAAAAGAAACATTAGTGACATTGGCCTATAAACTTTGGGCCTATATTTCAGAATTCTCCTGTGTTGTATGTGTTTAGGAATAATGAGCAAATCTAAATTACTTTCTCACTAGTTTGCTTCAGGACCTCTTTTGTTTCCTTTTTTTTTGGTGGTGGTTTCAGTTCTTAACATTTATGAACTATTACGTGCAGATTAAAAATAGTCTCTGCCTGCTGACTTGCAATCTTAAAAAAAAACACCAACCTCTGAGGAGAAAAGGATGGGAAAGGAAGAAGAAAATAAGCACGTGCCAGTTCCTTAAAAGTGACAGCATTTAAAAAATAGATATAAATATCAGTAATGTGCCATCATGTCAATTCTGACTTATGGTGACCCTTTTTGGGGTTTACTAGGTAGAGAGTACTCAAAAGTGGTTTCCTCTGGGGATATCTGAGGGAATGTGCAGCGTGCCCACGGTCACACAGGCTGTCTTCTGGGATGCACGGGGGGTGGGGAATCAAACTCCCAACTGCTGGCTCTGCTAATTCACTGAGCTATCCAGTCAGCTCTTGAAATTAAAAAAAGTGGTATAATTTGACACAGTTGAAGGAGGGAACGGGTGTCTGTTTCTCAGCTGAGCCAATCTCTTCAGATCTGTTGTTGCCAACTCACTGTGTTCTACTTCCCTTTATGCTGTTGCCCTACATTTTTCAGCCCAGATTTCTGCTGGCTATATCCTTCCCCACACAATGTGCAGTGCTGTTTTTTCAGTGTTGAAGCTTTTAGGGTGGAGTGCTCTTCCAGTTAATAGTTTCAACTCCTGTATTATGATCAACACATCAGATGAAGTTAATAGATTTTTCTAATTGCTTCCTGTTCCATACAGGATGGGGTTGTCTCCATTTTGGGCACTAATTGGACAGCTCCCATACCCTGTGGAAGTGGTGGCTTTAATGACAGGATTCAGTCTCTTTTTTTTCCCTTCAAGGCTAAATATGCCCAGTTATTTCAGTCTTTCCTCATAGGGCTTGGTTTCCAGCCCCTTGATCATCCTTGTCACCCTCCTCATAAATTGTTCCAATTTGTTAGCATCCTTCTTGAAGTGTAGTGTCCAGAACTGGACATAATACTCAAGGTGAGGCCTAACCAGTGCTGACTTGCACCTTGTGGGTGGTAGTAATGAATCTTTAGAAACATGAAACTGATTAGGAGTATGCCATAAGCAGTATCCTGTAAGAATAACAAAAGTCCCCTTATAATGAATAGTAATTACTTTCAGAAGTGGCAAAAAGTATTGGTTTGTCACATTTATAGGTTCCAAAATTATCGCTATGATAAAGTGAAAGGATATACTAAGAAATATCTGTTTGTAATATGTAATAAAGAAGAAAATGCAGATTTGAAAATGTGGCACTGCTTGAAACTGAACAAAAGTGAAAATGACACATGCTGGGGTCTGCATGTTATAATGTCCCTTGCAATGTTTCCACGACTGAGGGAAGACTTGCTACCAGGATCAATTTGTAAATGCTTATGGCTGGTTTTTTTTTTTTTTTTTTTTTTTTTTGTGATCACAAAAAATGTTTTGTTACTAATTTTACACACTTCTCCTTATGGTAGAGTCAGTGAAGGCAGATTCCCCACAGATTGTGCTGTCTTCCTCTTTCTGGATTGCAGATTACACTGACATGTATATTTCTCTTCTTGTTTTCTTATTTTCTTGTATTACTATTATTTTCTTTTGCCTTTGCAGTCAGGCTGTCATTTCCTGCTTCCTTTCCTTATTTGATCTAGATAGCGTGTGCAGTGGCCAAGGCTGTAGTCTTGCATGCAGGCAACATGATGATGAGGTTGAGGGTGAGGGACAGTGCTCTAAAACTGATAATACTTCTACTGTTGATTGAAATGCAGTAGTCAGGGATGCATATTGCAGATAATAAAAGATAGTTTGATGGCCTTATCCAAGGGTAGGCAACTGGAGCATCTGGAGAGGTACAGCCACTTACCTACCTACCTACCTACCTACCTACCCACCCACCCACCTACCTACCTACCTACCTACCTACCTACCTACCTTCCTTCCTTCCTTCCTTCCTTCCTTCCTTCCTTCCTTCCTT